CATGAACTTCCATGTGATGGAAGCCCGACTACGTGAAATAAGTTTTGTTTAAGAATGGCGCTTCTCAACAATTTCATTGGTGATTCAGGCATTGATTTGCCCATTATTTTATTGGTCAGCATCACTGCCATGTATCCCATACATTTTTTTCTTATCACTTCTTCTTTGAAGTTTCGATTTTTCCAATATGGTTCAAGCCCAAGACATTCATTTGCAGACGAAGACGTAATTACGGAGCAGAGCTTATAGGTGTGAATCTACATAATCGTAGCCATATTAATTTCTAGATGCCTGTTCCCCGAGTCTCTCTTATTCACGGAACATGACTACTATCGCTCTTGACTCGTCTTGATCTCGTCTATCAGCCAAACATCGCATGTGCACTTGCCAGATGTGGCCTACTTACCCGGCAACATTTATCCTTTTTGGCTAGAAAATAGATTTATTCACTCTATTTCGCTTAAGGTGAAGATGGACTGGTGGTAGAATTTTCCCACAATGATATGAGACGAGATGACGTTTCCTTTGAATTTCACATTGCCAAAAGTTGTTATCATCCAGGGTGGACTGCAATTTCGACCTCGCATCGGTCTTATCAATACCCCCAGCGGGAGTCGAACCGTGACAGTGCAGAATGGGAGCTTGACACGTTAACCACTCGGCCACATATCCACAAGTGTCCTTGGGTCACAGGCAAGATGTGAATTTCAAGTAAGGCCAGGCCTTTCCCCATATCACATTCCTTGGTGGGATTTTCGATGAAGCTAACGTATATTTGCTATAACAATCGACTACGTTAATTATTTTTCGTATGTAAATAGAGCTTCGAGACTACCAGTAAATCAGTAATATGAGATGTATTCACCCCGTTTTGTTTAAGGCGATGGAAGACTGGTAGTAGAATTTCCCCACAAAGATTTGAGTAGAGCTGACGCTTCCATTGAATTTCACATAGCCTTGCTTTCCCAAAAGTTGTTCTCATCATCTTAAACGAAATAGGGTGAATAGATCTCATATTACTGATTTACTGATATTCTCGAAACCCTACTCACATACGAAAAATAAGTAACGTGGTCGATTTTTGGCAAGGCAAGGCTCTATTAAATTTAATGAAAACGTTAGTTCTAATCATAGCATTGTTGGACAATTCCACCACCAGTCTCTCATCACCTTAAACGAAATTTGGTGAATACATCTTATATGACTGATTTACTGGTAGTCTCGAAACTCTACTCATAGATATTAGGAGCCTAAAAACTTTAGTTGAAAGAATGACTCATATTCTAATATCAATTTTAACTTAGAAAATCCTTTCGCAACCTCTCGGTCACCTATGCCTCCACATGTCTGTGGTACACTGAATAGCCTACGCCTTTATCTTGACATCGAATTTCTAATTACCAGTTGAGCTCTTATAATCTAGAGCCCTTGCCTTTTTATCACAGCTGTAAATAGTTTTGCTCTCGATATTCTCTAGGTTACGGTTTCCTATAAGGAGTTGCTCTTGCCATAAGATCCCGGTCTCCATTTGCGAATTCAGTCCTATTTCATAAATGAAGACGAAAAAGTATAAATCGAAGGTACGAAGATCAAGGTGGTGTATGGTCGCAGTCTCCTTTCGTTGTTTGACCCTTTTTTCGCAGATTGGTCATAGTGGTAGGAAGAGTTAGAGGAACGCACCTAGCTCGGATTCTATAATATACATGATAATTTCCAGAGTAGGATCATGGACGTGGTACATTCCTAGACGTTTCGCCGGTATCGCTAATGAGTCTTGTCACTCTTAGCACCACACCATAACTCGTCAAAGTGACGAGAGAAGTATATTCTTTAACCAATTCTCTGCCAAACCCCCTCATCCCCCTTCACCTTTGTGCTGGGAATGTTGCCATATTGTTACGCAGTCCTCCTTCCATAGGTCTTATCAGAGTCTCCCTCTTGCCTCGTATGATCCCCATCCTACCTTCCTGATTCATGTATCTCACTCGACCCCTGCCACCCTATCTGTACTACCTAAAGCGTAATTTTTCACACTGTCTCAAGCCTTTGTTGACACGGCTGCTCCTACCTCGCCGAGTAGGCTTTTAAAAATCAGGATTCTCAAGCTGGATTGGAGACTAACTTGAGGCTAAATATCCCGAGTAATTCTCATCATCAAGCCTTTGCTACGTGGACCATTTCTATGATCAAACACGTCTACCGTTAGCCACCTAGATCTAGTCTCTGCCACATCTATCGTGCTTCTATCCATAATGCCAAGACTCTGACTTCCTATGACATAGTCTCTTGTGTGTCAACCCACAAATGTTAAGGTTCTACATTGAACCTAATCAAAACAAGTTAAACGACATAATCTGTGCGTTTGCACACAACAATCTATGGCATAGGAACTCATAGACTTGGCACTATTTATCAAAGCACAATAGATGCGGCGGAGATTAGAGCAAGTTGCCTACCAGTAGACATGTTTGGTCATAAACAAAGGCTCGACCATGATAATTAATCGGGCTCTTTGGCCTCAGGTTAGTCTCCCATCCAGCTTGATAATCCAGATTTGTAGAGGCCTACTCAGCGAAGTGGTAGTTCGTGTACTATCATAAGCTTGAGTCAATGTGGGAAACAACGCTTCGAGTAGTACAGAAAGGGTGGTAGGGGTCGATGGAGGTAGGATGCGGATCTTACGGTGCAAGAGGGAGTCTGATACTACCTATGGCATGAGGATTGCGGAATAGCATGGCAGACTAATCAACATTCCTAGCGCAAGGGTAAAGGGGGGTGAAGGAGTGAGAAAGTCAATGTAGGGTGTGGAGAATTCTCAGGAAATCTGCTCAAAATGGCACTTCATAGTACATTTAAATAAGAAATTTTGATTGTGAATAAGTGATAGGAGGATATAGAATTGGTGAATAGCCCAGGGCAGAAGGAAAGATACCGGTATCGTTTAGCAGACAATTGATCAAAGGATCGGCATCACTTGTCTTTGACGAGTTGTAGTATTGTGCTAAGACTGCCAAGGCTCACTAACGATCCTGGCGAAACGTTTTGGATTCTACCACGTCCACGGTCCGACTCTGGAAATTATCATGTATTCTATGAACTCAATACTAGGTCTTCCTGCCAATATGACCAAGTTGCGCAAACAATTCAAAAAATTTCTAAAAAGAATTGAATTCATCCATGTAGCCTTTATAGGAGAGGACTCGTCTTTTACTTGCAAAAGGAAATTATTCTTTACTTCCTATATTTAATATCGAATACCTTGAGTCATCTTCTTAAATTCTAGAACTTCAACTCCGCATAGACATGGGTTCCTTTCTTAGCTGAAGTGCATTCAGATCTCTTGCAGATAGGTGAGTTTTTGCTAGATTTGATTTCGCCAACAACCTATCAACAAGCCAAGCTATGATATACATTTTTCATTTTATCTTTATCAGCTCATTTTGTTAGAATAATGCTGCTCACTTGCCAAATCAATCTCCTTTGCATCTGCTGGTCTTTCTAGTCCGCTATATACTCTTATCTTGTATTGATGATCAAATCAAACAAATTAATCGAGTTTAAATGTGATTTAGCTGAATGAAATCAAGTCATTTTTTTGCATTCGCAATATTTTGCTTTCATACATATAAATACAGGCGCACTCGGGGCAGTACTCCCATCTTGACAGAAAACACTAATGAGGCTTCTAGCGTTACCAGGACACAGTGCCGACCTAGTCCGCATAGTGGCCTATCCGCCCTACCTGGTGTTGGCCTGTCGCGGGTACGATCCCAGCAAATTTCGCGCATGCCTTTGACTAGTTCAGTCGATGATCGTGACTATCGACGTCATCATTCTGCCGGACCATGTGACAGTTTTTCAGATAAAGAAGAGGAGGGTGATATCGAAGACGTTTGTTGTTCAGGTGTCAAGAGGGAAAGCAGACGGACGATTTCTGAGCGTTCAACAAGGCAAGATGATGTGGAACGGGGCCTTGTGGAAGAGGTGGAGGTGGAGCCGGGCGACGAGCGAAACCACAGTTTGAATGATGGGCCACTTCCACTTGAAGATGGTTTCCAGGCGGCACGGACATCTGATGTGCCTTCCGGGCGGCGACAGCACTTCTCTGCCTCCTGTCAAATGA